AACCAGGTGCTTGCTATGGATCTCAGCTGGATTACTTTTGCTTAATAACAGGCACCACCATATCTGAATTGCTGAATCAGGACCAAAGTGCTCAACACCTACAGAGTTAAGCCCTTCAGCTGCATAATTATATTACAGCAGGGGTAGCCAACCTGTGGCCCAGAGTCACATGCAGCTCTTCAGAAGTTAATATGCGACTCCTTGAATCTTTGCACAACCACACTGTGACCAAGTGTGCTTGTGCAAAGTTTCAAGAAAATGCATATTCACTTCTGAAGAGCCACATGTGGCTCCAGAGTCACATGTTGGCCACCCCTGTATTACAGCTTCCCAAGTCTGGAATCAAAAACCATTTTCCCTCGTTAAAATCTACATGCATCTTAAGTTATAACAAATCAAAGCTAAATGGGTGCAACAAATCTTTGCACAGATCTTACTACAGAAAATAATGAAAGCAAGATTCACCAAAGCAGAAAGGATAAACTATTTGATGTGTAATTTCATATACAATATAATTGAATAAAAACAGCTTATTAAAATACTGTCTACTTTTTTGAAGAACGGGAATGCTACTTGACTTCCTTCCTTTTCACATGTTCATTAGTTTTCTGTTGTGGAGAACAGGAAGCTTCCTCATCTTGGTTTAACCTTAATGTAATTTGGGTCCCTCTGTTCAAAATCCATCAGCCAAGTGGGGAAACTGTAAATGAACAAAGCAGTTCTCTCTCAGAACTGTTTCTGCATACAAAGTCCTCCCCCCACCAAAAAAAAACAGGAAGGGGAAAAAAAAGCACATAAAAGCTAAAAAGAGACAGTTTGGAAACTTTATTCTACCCTGCTTTTCTTTCTGACTCAGATTCAGGACAGCACTTAGGCATGAATAAAATCAGCTTTAAGTACATGCCTAAAAGCTTTCCTTATTCAATGCCTAAATGCATATAGGCAACTAAATGCCCCCACTTTGGTGCCCAAGTCCCTCATTTAGACACTATTTGTATTACAACTCTTCCCCCATGCCCTCAGCCTGTGTCCCTATAGACACCTAACTCTCTTCCAATGAGTGTGCACAGAGTTGCCCAAGTCCTGAAACTGCCAAGCAGCTGTTTCCTAGCTCATGCCAAGACTCAACGGAGTTCTGAAGAAAGACATAACCCATCAGCTTACCTGCAGTGCCCAGCCTGGTAGACTATGCCTAACCTGCAGAAAAACAGCCTGAAATAACCGTGTTCCAGTGTAACCAATAGCCCAGTGACCAGAGACTCACTTGGGCAGGGGAGACTCATGGCTGAGGTTTTTCCTCCTACCTGATTTAACAACTGCAGTTTCCTGCTGCCCAGGTGAGCGCCCTAAACACAATGCCACTGGGTATTCTGGAGTAAGTCTGAGGTTTTTTCCAGAAGAAAGGCTGACTGGGTTTAAGCACTAAGCTTCAGGAGAACGCTCACAGATGGAAATCCCCGAGGCAAGTGCTTCCATTTAGCCTGGAGTTGGACAGCTTACAGTTTTTGAGGAGTAGGATCTAATCCTGTGGCGCTATGCAGGCCAGTCTAGATAGTTCACCACTCAGCCTGCTGGCTTCTGCAAATCCCACTCTGTTTGTACAAGGTGCCTAACTTTGTGCCTCAATGCCCAGTGCAATTAAGAATGATGTACTACAACTCCAAAGGCCCTTTTTAGTTCTACTTAGTCACACACACAAACTTCAGTGACCCATCTTCAATTGATTCGTCTACCTAGAACATTAAAAGCTATAAAAGAACAAGAATTATGCTCTGTATTATTTTAATAATTAAAGCTCCTTACTGAAGTCAGAGCTGCACAATACTAGTCCTTGCTAGCTTGATCTATATAAATAAAGAGGAAAGTAACGGTTCACTGACACTTACCTCCCAGTATACCTGGTCATCAAAGTACTTTGATACAGGTGGTGACTTGCATATATTCAGCTTTAAAAGGATACCTGGGTTAAGACAATAAACAGCAAAAACACATGGATCTGATATTCAAGGCTGTTTGTTCTGTTGGTCCTGCACTTGTTTGTAGCAGCACATTTGTTAGCCACATGTATTGAAATGTAAGAGAACAAAATACAACTCAGAATCAAAACTACCCTTCCTCATCTTTCCCATGGGGCATTCTTTCATTTCTGGAGAAGTGAATTAGATCTCAGATGAATAACGTTTTTGGAAAGGAACTATTTGGATTAACACCCAAGTTTAAACTCTTGTACAGTTACTATTGAAAGTATCCGTCCAAACAAACAGAGCAGTTGTAAATAAGAGATCAACTTTGCTATCTAAGCTGCATAATGGGCCTAACTAAACCTTAGAGGTCACCTCCTAAAATAAGAAAAGGTCAATGTCTAGATTTAATTTTGTACACATGAAATACCTGGTTCCAAAATCTAGACCCGGGCTGGACCCTCTAGAAAAGTTTCCCAGTCCTTTACAAATTACTTATAAAAATGTGGTCCAGAATATTTTTTTGCCATTCATCTGATTACTTGGGCACATAGAAGTAAAGCTGCATTCCCTACAAACCAGGTTTCATCGGACAGCCATCACACAGCATCCTGGCTCAGCCAACAGATAGCTCCAAAGTTTGGCATCATTTGGGGAGAAGTCAGCACTTCTAGAAGGGCGGTCTCTTTATTTTCTCTCTTTAGGATTACATAGATCCTTTCTCCATTCTGCGGATATAGTCAGTGGCACAAGGTAAAAGCAAGCAGGAAAGTGGATTCATGTTTTTCAGCCCCTGGACTGATGCCAAGTCCCTTTAGCTCCAGCAGACCTCTGCATGGGCCTAACAGTCTGCTTGATTATCAAGAGTTGACACCCATGTGTTAAAGAAAGAGACCAGGTATTTACCAGGAAACACGCTGGCTTATCAGCACTCTTAAATTGGGATTTCAGGTGTAAATAAATACCCTGCTTATTAAAAGTGATTGGATTAACATATACTGTTTGTTTAGTTCTGCCGTGTTTATATTTCCCATGTGTTTCAGTCAGATGAAGTAGATACTTAAAAATCTACTGAATTAGCCTCAACCTCTAAATTACATTTGAACTAGCATAGAGGTTATAGATTAATTACAGCCTGGCATATTTATCTTAGAGTACAGTATTTCAGAGCAATTCTCACATGCTGTTTTTCTTGCTCTAAAACAAGGCTAAACTGTGATGGAAAATACTGCAACTACCGTAACATAACCAAAGAGCCACACTGGAGACCCATGATCTTTGATCTCAAGAACGAAGATGGGCGCCAAATCTTCAACTGCCACAAATCATCTACCATCTTCAGTTAAGCACTGCTGATTTACACAAGCCACAGATGTGGCTCAGCATGGAAAAAAAAAGTCTTGCTATCTCTCTTCTGTTACTAATGTCATATTCTACATATAAAGATATTTCCTCCTACTTCCTCTTGTTCCTGAAACCAAAGGGGGCTGCTGAAGCACCCTTTAAAAATAACATTGGCAAGAATAAGAACGCTGCTACCTCTTTGGCCTCGTTGAATGTGTCCCTGGTCCAAAGTCACAACAGAACAGACCTTGTCACAGCTTTTCTTACAGTAGCAAGTGAACTCTCTCTATATAGCAGTGCCCCAGTTACCACCGTATGAGATGCAATAGGTTGGGCAACACTGCTATGACAGCAGAGGTACCTGGATCACCCAGCACCTGTGAAAGTTAGGAAAGGTGCCACTGAAACAGCTTCCCATACTAACCTGTAATAAAGCCCACTATCACGGCCACAAGGATAGTGATACTCAGAGAACCCACTTCAATCAAGGCTGGATAACCCTTACTGGAAATGAAAAGCAAAGACACTTAAGTGCAGAACTGCAGGTTACTCCAGGGAAAAATATACCTTGGACTTTTCCCACTCACAGATGCTGAGTTACCTATAAAGATTATGATGTTGCATCAATCTATGTCTTGGTGCAAAATTTTTAACAGGCTAAAAATCACATAATTCCAAATGGATTTTTAATAATTAAATTATGCAATGGCTGCATTTGAAAATGTCAGCAACTGATGTCAGGCCCAAAGACTAAGACAATTCTAGGGCCAAATTTTGCTCTTAGATGCATTCTTGCCATGCCTAGTCTATTAAATAGGAACTGGATGTGTATACCTGGAGGAAGAATGTGACCCATCTAATGCCCCAGTACTGCAATATGATCCACTCAGGCAGAGCCCTAGTGAAGTCAGTGGGATTCCACGCAGGAATAAGGGTTCATCTGCAAGAATCGCACTGCAGGATGACAACAAAAAAGCCTTCTGGGACTCTGAAGCCCTTCCCTCCCTCGTGCTGCTGGGCCTCAAAGGTTCACTCATGCTCACCTTTCAGGTCCCAATTCAGTCTCCCTTGCACCTTCACCTTAGTTCTCCTGTCTTCCTTTTCACACTACTGCATCCCAAAGTCACTCACTGATTTCCCACTTAATGATCCAGAAACAAAACTTAATTCTGAGGACCTGATTCAAAGCTCATTGAAATCAAGGAGACTATTTCCTTTGAATTAAATGGCCTTTGAATTGGTCCATGTTAGTACTGGACATGTTAGTACCAAAGGATTAATCTATGAGGCCAATCCAAAGCTTTCTGCATGTTTTACAGGGCTTGGAATTCCAATCTGAGGCACAATATATTACAGATGAGCTACCCACAATATTGAATCAAAAGGCTCTACTTACACTGGCAAGTTGTTCCAGTTGTATATTACGAAGAGGATGACATAGGCTATTGCTCCCAGCAATCCAGGCATCCCAAACATGCAATGAATGCCACAGATGTCGTGCATCTTGACTACCGAATTCAAACACATCTGAAATGGGAAAAGTGTTTAATAAACACACAGAAGCAAAAAGTTACAAAGCTGAAGAGGTATTCAGTCCCAGATCTAGAAACAGAAGATACATCTCCCAGCTCTCTCTCATGGGACTCTGAGCTCTTCTAGGGACAG